TATCTATCTATCTATCTATCTATCTATAATATTCTGTCTCTGTCTGTATCTGTCTTATTCTCTGTCTCTATTTATCTCTGTCTGTATCTATCTATCTATCTGACTGTCTATCTCTAATTCTATCTATCTATCTATCTATCTATCTATCTATCTATCTATCTATCTATCTATCTATCTATCTATCTATCTATCTATCTATAATATTCTGTCTTTATCTGTCTGTATCTGTCTTATTCTCTGTCTCTATTTATCTGTCTGTATCTATCTATCTATCTGACTGTCTATCTCTAATTCTATCTATCTATCTATCTATCTATCTATCTATCTATCTATATCATATTCTCTCTATTTATCTATTTGTCTGCCTATCTATCTGTCTCTAATTCTCTCTCTCTATCTAAATTCTGTTTCTCTCTCTCTCTCTCTCTCTGACTGTCTCTCTCTAATTCTGTCTATATCTATCTATCTATCTATCTATCTATCTATCTATCTATCTATCTATCTATCTATCTATCTATAATATTCTGTCTATATCTGTCTGTATCTATCTATCATATTCTCTGTCTCTATTCATCTCTGTCTGTATCTATCTATCTATCTGACTGTCTATCTCTAATTCTATCTATCTATCTATCTATCTATCTATCTATCTATCTATCTATCTATCTATCTATATCATATTCTCTCTATTTATCTATTTGTCTGCCTATCTATCTGTCTCTAATTCTCTCTCTCTCTATCTAAATTCTGTTTCTCTCTCTCTCTCTCTCTCTCTGACTGTCTCTCTCTAATTCTATATCTATCTATCTATCTATCTATCTATCTATCTATCTATCTATCTATCTATCTATCTATCTATCTATCTATCCATCTATCCATCCATCCATCCATCCATCCATCCATCTATCCTATCTCTATCATATTCTCTCTATTTATTTATCTATTTGTCTGTCTGTCTGCCTATCTATCTATCTGTATCTCTCTATCTAATTCTGTCTATCTAATTTTATCTATATCTATCTTCTATCTATCTCTATCATATGTCTCTCTCTAATTCTGTCTATCTATCTATCTGTCTGTCTGTCTGTCTATCTATCTATCTATCTATCTATCTATTTAATTCTGTCTATCTCTCTCTCTTTATCTCTCTATCTAATTCTATCTATCTATCTATCCATCCATCCATCCATCTATCTCCATCTGTCTGTCTGTCTGTCTATCTCTCTATCATATCTCTCTCTCTCTCTCTAATTCTCTGTCTCTCTAATTCTCTCTCTCTCTCTCTCTCCCTACCTATCATCTCTCTCTCTCTCTCTCTCCGTGATCTGTCTCCATCCATCCATCCCTTTCTCGGCCCAGTTCCCTTTCGTCTCCCTTTTCCGACAGGCCCGAAGCCAGATTCTCTTAACGACCGTCCGACCGGCTTAACGACCCCCGAAAAGTGGCCATTCGTTTAAAGTGTCTTGTTTAGTAACGGCAATTCCTGCCTCGGTTGCGGTCGTAAGCTGAGGACCCAATGCAGAAGAGGCCCGCTTTTGTATGTGTGTCGCCACGACAAACAACAAAGCGCAAGCTTGGCGGAGGTTTCCTGTTGTGGTTACACACTTGAGCAACCTGGGTGGCGCCCTTGCTTACTGTAGAAGTGTGTGTGTGGTTGTTTTCCACACAGGAGGCTGCCCAGCTAGCAATTCACTGGGGCGCACAAAAAACTCCAACACAACTCCACGACGAGTTGTGGAAGCCTTCCGGATTCCCGCCTTCCAGACAGAGTCCTCACTTTATGACCAAAATTCACGGTTGCTAAAGGGAGGGGAATCCCCTGACCTAGGGACTCGGCAACCGTCGTAAGTGTGAAGTAGATCCCCATCCATCCCAACCGGGGGGCATTCTGGGACTTGTAGTCCCCCCACCCCCCAATACAGGAAGACTACTGTCCCCATCCATCCCAACCGGGGGGCATTCTGGGACTTGTAGTCTCCCCACCCCCCCCAATACAGGAAGACTACTGTCCCCATCCATCCCAGCCAGCATTCTTGGACTTGTGGTCCGCCCCACCCTCCAATACAGGAAGACTACTGTCCCCATCCATCCCAGCCGGGGGGCATTCTGGGATTTGTGGTCCCTCCACCCCCCCCAATACAGGAAGACTACTGTCCCCATCCATCCCAGCCAGCATTCTGGG